GTGGAGAGCTTCCGCATGCGAAGTAAGTCACATGTCTCATTGCTACCTAGTGTTTGTTCTTGTCTCTGCTGAGTGAGTTATACTGTGTCCTGCGAAGTAAGTTACATGTCTCATTGCTACCTAGTGTTTGTTCTTGTCTCTGCTGAGTGAGTTATACTGTGTCCTGCGAAGTAAGTTACATGTCTCATTGCTACCTAGTGTTTGTTCTTGTCTCTGCTGAGTGAGTTATACTGTGTCCTGCGAAGTAAGTTACATGTCTCATTGCTACCTAGTGTTTGTTCTTGTCTCTGCTGAGTGAGTTATACTGTGTCCTGCGAAGTAAGTTACATGTCTCATTGCTACCTAGTGTTTGTTCTTGTCTCTGCTGAGTGAGTTATACTGTGTCCTGCGAAGTAAGTTACATGTCTCATTGCCACCTACTGTTTGTTCTTGTCTCTATAGAATCAGTTTTGATGTGTCCTGCGATTGTTAGTGCCACCATCTGCAAAATTATCGCTGTTACCGTTTTCTACCCACTGAAAACGTGAGTGCTACGGAAATACATCGCGAATTAAGCGCGGTTTACGGGCAAAATGTAGTAAGGAAAGGAACTGCAAGACAATGGTGTAGAATGTTCAAAGATGGGCGAACAAATATTCATGATGAGAAGTGAAGTTCTCAGGCATCTGTAGGGGCTTCATGCCTCTGCCACTTTAACACCCCTTACACATTGAATAGAAGTCTGTGTGGACCCCAGATCCGGTCTGGACGACGTGGAGAAGAGGAAATTCTTGACCCTGGTATCCAAACTCCGAACCCTCCGTCGTCCATGCCGTATTCAGTCGCTATACCGACTGATCTATCCCTGTTCCTTATTTTCTAAAAGTACCACATTTAATTTTCAACTATAAATTCAAAATTTAGTGAATATAAATTATTTGTGTCCAATGTTATATTTTAGCGTCCTGTTGCACTGATTTAAGTCCATGATTTATTTTATCCGTCTTCCAGTGCATACATTCATCTATCCCCTCTTCTCACTCGCACTACATGTTTCGGCACAAAAGTGCCATCTTCAGGTGCTGATCCAATCCACGACAAACTAGTTCATTGCATGCCTTGTCTATACATACTAAAATAACTAAAATATATATTTATCATATATACTGATAAATGTTAAGTGTTAAAATATTAAAATTGTACAGGATATTTCATTCCTACGTCGTGTTTCATTACGCGAGTCACTTCTATCATCTTCTGTTGGAGCACTCTTTCACTATCGTGTATTGTGCTCTGTGTTGCGTCTTGCTCCTGTGACTGCGTGTGTTATACTGCTGTTATATGAATGTATGCACTGGAAGAAGGATAAAATAAATCATGGACTTGTTTGTGTCTTTTTAAGTTTTTACAGTGAAGCTCTCTCAGTTTTATAGTTCAGACAGCAATGAATAGGATAACGATCGTGAATGATGAATTGGTAAAGATCTGGAAGGAAGCGATATTATTGGAGAAATTCGCCGGGTAGAATGAAGTACGTAGCTTTCCGGCCCGCACCCCGACATAATCACTCCTGAGACCTGCCGAAACAGGAGTGTCAGCCTCTCAACCGTTGCGTTTCGTAATTGAAAATGCTGAGGCAATATAAAGTGTGTGTAAAACTGTCTCCTGTTACAGAACTCAATTTAGGGAAAAAGCAATTAAGTGTAGCGGTACTCCTACCCAGTTAACTGGATATAGGTCCTTACAGAAACCTCCCTGCATATGATGCTGACGAATCCTGCCTTCTTTACTAGAATTTTATTCAATTTCCAACACCGCTAATCCGTCACGAAATGTCCTTCTTACATTATATTGGAAACAATATAACCGTGTTACTACTGAGATGCCGGGAGTCCACGCTTTTTGTTCAGACATTTTTTACCTGTATGTCAGACACGAAAAACCATTTATGAGCTCACATATGTGTGTATGTGTGAGAAAGAGAGATAGTGAGAGAGTATGTGTGTGCGCATGCGTGGCGTCTTTCACCTCTTGAAAGTTTTGAAGCATTCTATTGGATTTTATATAGGAAATTCTTACTGAAACCTGTCAATAACAATTTCTTAAGCATCTGGGATTGACACGTGGTTTTGTGTCCTAACTGCTTTTTTATGCTCACCATTAAATGTTCCACTAATATAATAATAAGTATTGGATGTGCGGGATTTGTCACTGTGTATGATATATAGTATTAGTATTAAAATACACAGCGGTGGAATTGCCATCAGAAAATAAGTCATCCACTAAATGTAATATGCCCGTCATAATGATTTATATTGTGGTAACGACCGCGAAACAAACAAGACTACGGGTATTACTAGGTAACAGCTTTGTAAATACGCAACAGTAATGGAGCCGTTGCTAAGCAGCGGCCCGCACACCAATGGTAATACTGTAGGAAGCAATGTTTTCTATGTAGTCCTCTCCGCGGCTACATCACTCGACCGACCAAGTTGAGTTCAGTTGGTGCAGTCCAGGGGAGATAATTTGTTTGTTGAGTGAGTGAGAGAACTGTTACGGTTCAGTCTTTGTGAGCATTTGCTGTTAGAAGTTGGTAACTGAGGCACAGAGACAGTATGAGAATCCAGAATAAGGGGAACGACAACTGTTGGAAGCCGTTACCATGCAACGATTGGTGAAAATATAGAATAAGAAGACTTAGTATGTGCTGTAGTGAACTGCAGAGTGTATGAATTAACGATAGAGCTAGAGCTACTTGTAGTTACGATCTGTAAGTGGTCAATAAATCCAATTACCAACCCAAACCCCGTCTATAGTCCCCCTAACACGCTGACAACTGGTGTCAGAAGTGGGAGGTGGCAATATAAATGTGCCACCATTAAGTAAGGGGCGTTCTTTACAAGTAATTGGCTGACTGACCAGCGTTACACGTAGAACTCGATCCACAAAGATAAAAACCACATGAATTTTGTTACTCTTTTTCATCAGTCTATAATCACGTTCATACAATTGACTCTCTTTAAAATAACGTACTGATAGTAAACAAATAAATAATTAATTTACTAACGAAATTTGAAATGCTGGAGATAGGCTTAACGAATTTCAAACTGTATGAGTTAAATGTAGTTGCACTTAAAGCTTGCAACTGTGAAAGTACAAACCAACAAACTCCGTGGCCCTAGTCCGCAAGCGAACTATGCCGACAGAGCGCCCGTCACATGTCAGCGAAGTTAGTGCCAACTTTAGCAGATAGAGTGTGTCACGTGGTCAGCGCAACGGATCTCCACGGCCGTTAATCTCGGCTTTGTAGACCGGAGCTGCTATTTCCTTGAAATATCTCCTCAGTTGTCCTCACGAGGCTGAATGGACCCCGTTCCAGATCCACTACTTCTCAGAAAATCTGGTAGCGCCGGGAATCGAACCCGGGCCCTCTGGATCTGTAGTCAGGAACCATCTGACCATTAGACCACAAAGGCGGTCGTAGTTTAGGATATACAGTTAGTAAAAATGAACTGTCTTAGTCGTTGAACTTTTGGCATTATGTCAGCAGAGGAAGGAAGTGGCAGTAATGCTCATGTGATTGGCATTATGTCAGCAGAGGAAGGAAGTGGTAGTAATGCTCATGTGATTGGCATTATGTCAGCAGAGGAAGGAAGTGGTAGTAATGCTCATGTGATTGGCATTATGTCAGCAGGGGAAGGAAGTGGTAGTAATGCTCATGTGATTGGCATTATGTCAGCAGGGGAAGGAAGTGGTAGTAATGCTCATGTGATTGGCATTATGTCAGCAGGGGAAGGAAGTGGTAGTAATGCTCATGTGATTGGCATTATGTCAGCAGGGGAAGGAAGTGGTAGTAATGCTCATGTGATTGGCATTATGTCAGCAGGGGAAGGAAGTGGTAGTAATGCTCATGTGATTGGCATTATGTCAGCAGGGGAAGGAAGTGGTAGTAATGCTCATGTGATTGGCATTATGTCAGCAGGGGAAGGAAGTGGTAGTAATGCTCATGTGATTGGCTTTATGTCAGCAGAGGAAGGAAGTGGTAGTAATGCTCATGTGATGATTTATTTAACAGGGCATTTGACTATTAAAATCGTCTTATAACTCTGAATGTAAGGCAATCCCGTATTTTCCCAGTGAGAAAATCAGACGACATAAAAATTGACTATGTCATTTATTTCTGAGTGTTGTAAGAAAAAATGAATAAAAACGATACTATTGAGAAACAGTAAATTAAAAATGTAACACCTTAAATATAATTTTATACATTTTTACAAATTTCTGGAAAAAAAAATCCAGAAAGAAAGAGACCACTGGGAAGACCAAGACGTAGGTGGACAATATTAAAATGGATCCCAGATAGATAGAATTGGCTGGCATGGATTGGATTGATCTAGTTCAGAATAAGGACCAGTGGAGGGCCCTTGTGAACATGGTAATGAACCTTCGGGTTCCATAAAATACTGGGAAGTTCTTGAGTAGCTGCAGAATTGATAGATGTTCGAGAAGGTCTCAGCTCCATGAGTGATGATGATGAGTTTCACAAATATCATTGGAATTTGTGATTAGATCTTCTTATAATCATCTTACTTATTCTTAACAAACCGGAAATAGGATTAGCCCTATTTTCATAAAAGCAGCATCGAATGACAACAGTTAGTGAATAATGAATTGCGAAGGATATGAAATGAAGTTGTCATAGCCTAACTGAACATACTATTCCTGTATTTGAGTGGAAGTACTAAGGAAAATCATAAAACACGTCAGTCAAGATGGGCGGCTCCCCGAGCGGTCACCTCACGAATACACACGACCGTATCGTTCTGTTAACAACAGAACGCCATCTTGTCAATATGAAGGTCTCCTGCTTGTTCAAGCACGATCGCGTGGAGCTTCGTAATTTCAAGCGTCCAATTCTCTCTCTCTCTTTCTCCATTTCTCTGCTTTCTCCCCGAGAGCTGGTCCCTGAAGAAACAGTATGAACATTAGACCTGGACTTACAATTGGATCTTTTTTTGCAGTGGTGACCCAGCGGTACGAACCGGAAGTACAGAGTCCGGGTGGCTTTCTGGGAAATGACGTCATCATCCGTTGCAACGTGCCCGCCTTCGTTAAGGAGCACGTGACTGTGACTTCCTGGCTACAGGAGCCCGCTTTCAACATTTACCCATCCACAGTAAGCGGTGAGTAGATGACATGTCTTAATAGCTCTGAGTAATGCAGCTGATGCCTACAAATAACACAGAGCAACGGTTCTCACAGTTTTTGTGCTTTGTACCTCCTAAAACAGTTAATCAGATGTCTAGTCTCAGCGGGAAAATGCTTGGGAAATACGCAATTTAATCAACTGGTTTTGTTGCAACTACTACAGACGTTACAAGGATATCTTGTTTTACGGCGGGTTACTTCCTCGCTATGTCCTAATTCCTCATGAAATGGCCTGCGATTATAGAAAAACAAATGTTGAAAATCCATCATTCCGTATTGCTCAAACGTACGAATGATGACTTGCGGTACCCCTCGCAAGTTGCTTTGGTACCCTAATTTTTTTGTCTTGAGGTGGTGTGAGACTGAGTCTAGTCAGACACTAATCGGCCTATTGTACCAGCCAAAGATGATAGAGGATGAGTGTGTAGTAGTCGGCGGAATGAAACTTGGTAGGGGAAACAGAAAGCCTGCACCTGCGCCACCTTGTCCAACATAAATCCCACATGACTCTACCTGGGATCTAACCCGGGCCACCGATGTGGGAAGCCAGCGGCTAACCTCCTGAGTTATGGCGCGACCCTACCCTTAATTTACAGGTACCACGGTTTGAGAAACACAGGTAGAGAGAGTAAAGAAATTACAGAGTATGAAACTGTAAGACATCTTGTAGTTATGAAAGATTGTAGTCACGGAATAAGGCTCTCTTTTCGAAAGGTTTTCAGTCTTCAGGTTTGAACTACTCTTGTTAGCAGGCTGTGGAAAACTCTATGCTGCACAGCCCAATATTTTCAGTCTCGTTAAATTTATATTTTATTTCTTTTTCTTCTCCTTTGCCTTTGTTATTCGCGGAAGTAACTATATGCCTAAAAATGAAGGTTACAAAGTACATCAAACTAAAATGACTGTAGTGTTATTAAAATGGTGCTTATTCAGTACTGAGAGCATAGCTGAGCATTCCGTTGGAAGCTCAGTGCGTTTCATAGTGTTTCAAAACGTTTGAAATGAGCTGAAAAATGGAATGGCGTCACGGTAAGGCATACTTCAAGAGCCAGTTGTCGCGTTTCATACAAGGAACACGCAACTTGAGACTAACCCGAAAGTGAATTAAGATTTAACAGCTTGGTAGATCCTAAAATGTTCTGACGTATAACACTCAGAATTTTTCATCGTTTCGTATTCTATAAACTAGAAATCACGTTTCGGAAACTAGATCTATTTCCGTCCTCAGGTGATGGAGGATGACACGTACTCAGTTGTGTCCATAGAAAGAGCTAATCTCAATCACTGGGTCTGTGATCGTGGTTAAATCTTTCTATGGACACAACTCAGTGTCTTTCCAACTCATCTGAGAATGGAAACAGATATAGTTCCCGAAACGTCGTGTTTTCTAGGTTCCAGAATACCGGACGATTGAAAAGTCCAGAAACCCAGCAGTTCTGAACTTTCTACAGCTTGTTACAAATAGACAATGAAATAACACTGCGCTAAGAACGTGGTGGACATATATATATAAAGATAATAAAAGTACGTCACTGGATAATCCGCAATCTCATAGTTGCACAAAAGCTGAATCTATATTACTTAAATATAATTATATATTTGAACTTGAATACCATTTGCCCTATAAACATAAAAGAATATAAATTATTATTACTAATGTCCTCCTCTGTGGTCTAGTGGTCAGAGTTCCTGGCTACAAATCCAGAGGTCCCGAGTTCTATTCCCCGCGCTAACAGATTTTCTGAGAAGTAGTGGGTCTGGAACGGAGTCCACTCAGCCTCGTGAGGATAACTGAGGAGCTATTTTAAATAAATAGCGGCTCCGGTCTAGAAAACCGAGATTAACCTCCGTGGGGATTCGTTGCGCTTATCACACGACACCCTCTATCCACTAGAGTTGGCACTAGCTTCGCCGACAAGCAGCGGTCTCTCGGTCGGTATAGTTCGCTAACGGACTAAAGCCACGGAGTTATTTTTTTGTTACGTCAGGGATGAATAGGCAGAAGCATATGCCCACTAATCCAATACTGTGGCATTTAAACAATCACATAATTAAAACGACAGCAATGCAAGAGGATACACAGTAATTTTAGAGAGACATGAAATTGGAAGTTTCCCTTGTAATTTGTTATTTATCATCCTATCGTTCGACGCCTTATAATCTGAACGACAGGCAGCCATAAATTAATTAATTAATAATTATACAATCCGTCGGTGTGAAGTTGGCATTAAGATAGGGGAAGCTCTAAGGGACGCAGCCTTTACAACCCATAATCAGATTTCACCCGCTTGAAATTAATCACTCTACAAACTGTAAGCAGATAGAGGGATTTCATTGTTTAGAATTCGTAGCGAGAAGACACTCGAGTCTGATCTCTCCTGGATTTTCCTGTTGTTTCTGATGCAATCTGAGGCCTAGGAAAATTAACGACTGCCCCTGAGGTTTTTCCCGGTGCGAGGTGATTAAAATCTCGAAATGATAACCATTAATATTCCTAACTTTTGTGGTGCTGAACCACAATAACAGAAGTATGGAAAACTGGTTATGTATACTGTATAACGTACTTCAGAAACGGTTTATACGTATATGTCAATAGCACTTATCAGATGTTTGATGTAAGTTCAGGGAAAACCCAATCGCCCCTATGCGGGCTATATGCCTATAAGCAGTATCTTTAGTACAGTTTCATACTCATGCAGCTGAGCCCTTCTTGAGAAGCTAAATCTGCAGCTACTCAAGAATTTCCCACCACTTTATGGAACCTGACGGTTCATTACCGTGTTCACAAGAGCCCTCCATTTGTCCCTATCCTGAGCCAGATCAATCAAATCCATACCATCCCATCCTATCTCTCTAAGATCTATTTTAATATTGTCTACCCACCTACCCCTTGGTCTTCCCACTGGTTTCTTTCCTTCTGGCTTTCCCACCAATATCCTATATGCATTCCTATTCCCCCCATTCATGCTGCATGCCCTGCCAACCTCATCCTCCTTGACTTGATCATTCTAATTATACTTGGAGAAGAGTACAAGTTATGAAGCTCCTCATTATGCAGTTTTCTCCAACCTCCTGTCACTTCATCTCTCTTCGGTACAAATATTCTCCTCAACACCCTGTTTTCAAACACCCTTAGTCTATGTTCCTCCCTTAATGTCAGAGGCCAAGTTTTACTCCCATACAGAACCACAGACAAAATTGTAGTTTTGTATATTATAATTTTTAAATATTTAGACAGCAGACAAGAAGACAAAAGAGTTCTGACTGAACGGTAACCAGCATTACCCGAGTTCAATCTCCTCTTAATTTCCTCAGCGTAGTCGGTACAGCGACCGGCTATGGGCTGGACGACCAAGGAGTCGGAGTTCGAGTACTAGTGGGGGGCAAGAATTTTCACTTCCTCGTGTCGTCCAGACGATCTCTGGGGTTCACCCAACNAAATTTGAAAAAGAAAGAACAGAGATCTTATAGACATTTTAACTTGAATTAAGTTTAAAAAGTGCTAATTTAAAAATCAAATCGACGCGTGTAGATTAACAAAGATTTTATACAATTAGAAAGACTGGTAATTTTAAATTTTAACAAGCAGTGTAACAGCTACGTGAGTGATACACACCTGATGATGGCCATTTAGGGCCGAAACATGTAGTGTGGAGGAGGAAAAAGAAGTAAAAACTACAATAAAATTTGTTGCACTTAAGACGGTATTTGTCCATCTATACTCCTATCCAAAGTTTACCAGGGATAAAGCGGCAGGGGCGAGAAGGTGACCTCCAGCTAGAAAATATGGATCTATACATCCACTCCCCCATACACCTTCATGGCCTAGTGCTTAATTAGTTAACCACAGAGACAACTTTACCCTTTTTAGCTATCAGACTTTTCATACAGTTTCTGCAATAAAATTTTGTCGTGTTTTTGCTATATCATATTCGCATACTGGGAACAGGATTGATGTTCTGTTTGGAAAAATATTCAGCAAACTCTGATTCAGTGTGATAAATGTAGAACGGTTTGTAATCTAACAAGTGGTCTACGCCAAGGAAAGGCGTCTTTTATAGCACAGAATGCTAGTCGTTAACTGTGAAATTTAATATAAATTCACGGCGTGTTCTCTTCTCATTCTGTTATTTATTAACTTTAAAATTATGTTCAGGCATTCTGTGAGGTTGATGATGTTAGGAATATGGCGGATACTACCCACATGTACCTCACCGTCTGCAAACGAAATTTACTTTATTTGCTCAAACAGCGTACGTAGAAAGCCAATGTTCATTATTGCATGGGTTTGTTCCCTTTACTTATTAGTGTTTTTTTTTTTAATTATACTACGTTCGTTTTAGTTCTGTGTTACACGTCTGGGCACAGAAAACGTATCGATTCCTGTTCATCATCCATGCTACACGATAGCGTGACGCTGAATTATGTGCCATAGTTATTCATGCGAAATTTGTGTCTTTCCTTCGAACTATTTTTTTTATTGCTAGTGAGGTGGGACTAAGTCCCTTGTACTGCGGCCACTTCTGGCCTATTGTACCAGCCCCAGATGATAGGTGAGGGTGATTGTGGAGCAATTGGTGGAATGAAGATTGGCAGGGGAAACCGAAGTACTCGGAGAAAACCTGCCACTTCGTCCAACACAAATCCCACTTGACCAGACCCGAGATCGAACCCGGCCCGCCGCGGTGGAAAGCCAGCGACTAACCGCTTGTGCTATGGCGTGGCCTTTCCTTCGAATTATGAGCGGAAAATTTGACACTATAACACTAATCTACACCACAGAACACAAAATTAGGTATTCTTTTATGTGCTCGTAGCTATAATTTCAGCAACTGTTTCTGTAACATTGCTTTATTCTTTGTCGCTAAGGGAATCTAAGCAGGCTTTGTCACCCACGTCTCCTGCCTCCATTATTTCGTTACGAAACTGTCGCTATCTTTGTTTCGTTTCGTGCATTCTTTATTTTATCCCTTCA